CCTTACACTATGTCACGGCACACTAGTGTGCCATGGCACAGTGGTTGAAAAACACTGGCCTAGGAAACTCAGGGGGGAGGGGCGGGGCTGGGTGGCCCAATTGAGGACAGAAGCGTTTTTGCAAGGTGCCCTTTCTGTGCCCCCCCTCCCCCAAATCCCAGGCGTTTAAGGAGAAGCAAAAGTCCTTTATTAAGGCGGGGGAGGCTTCATCTGAGGGACAGAGGCGAACGGCGCCTCCGCTCGCTAAGGGGCACGAGGAGGCCTCGGGGAGTCACCGCGTAGAGGGGCGGCCGGCGAGAGCCGAAGAGGCCGCGGGGTTCCCCCTCCCCCCCCTCCAATCGCCAGGCGGTGCAGCCACCAGCAGCCCCACCCGGGCGGGGCCTCTGCGCATGCGCGCGCCTGTGGCGGGAAGCCGGCTGGGCAGCGAGGGCGGGAGAGCCATGGCGGGGCCTGCGGGAGCTTCCTGGGGCCTCCGGGCGGCCGGAGCGGAGCGGGACGAGGCGCCCGAAGGCCGCCTTTCCTTCCGGCGGGCCGGGCCGGCAACGCAACTGTCGGCCTACGAGCGGAAGCGGTTGAGGAACATCTCGGAGAACGCCCGCTTCTTCGCCTCGCTGCAGCCCTTCGAGGTCGGTGCGGAGCCTCCCCCGGGCGGACCGGGAGCCGCTCCCTGAAGGGGCTGGAAAGAGGCGAAACGCCTCGGGGGATTCGGATCTAAAAGAGCCGTTTTGGGCTCAGGCGCGGCTGCCTCGAGGGAAGAAGAGGCGCTGCTGGTTCACGTGTACAAATCGCCTCAGAATATCCACACTTTGGCAACTTGGGTGGCCACATTTCAGCTGCCCAGCGCTGCCGGTGCCTGGCAGAACCCTTAAGGCGCCGGCCTTGAAGCCGGGAGAGTCGAGTTCTACTTCTGGGCAGCTTCGGGTCTTCCCGTCAGGAGACCTGAGTTCTAATCCTGCCTTAGGCTGAAAGCCGGCTGAGCGACCTGGCCGGACCCTCCTCCCATTCAGCACAACACATGACTGGGTGATGGTTGTAGGGAAAAGAAGAGGAAGGATTAGGCCTTGGGTTATTTATAAAAATAATGAAGATGGGATAAAAATATAATTTAAAATAAGTGTGTTGAAACATTGAGAGACCATGCTTTTCTCTGTTCTTTTTCTCCTTCAAGTCAGCTACCAGACTTCATAAAATTCCCTTGAAAAGGAAGACACAAGGAGTAAAGAGGTAAAACTATATTGTGTGTACATTAACTCAGTGTTTTTCAACCACTGTGCCGCGGCACACTAGTGTGCCGTGACATAGTGTAAGGTGTGCCGTGGGAGAATTACTTT